TAGCATCACCTGAGCATACTGAGAAACATATGGCTGTGATTTGTGGCTCATTACTTGAAAGGCTAGGCATCAGACCTACTCCCTTGAGTGACCTATGCCATCCTGTTCAGAAAGGGGACATGCCAGCAGCTCTGCCTCCGCCACCCCTCACTCTTTCTCCCACGATGGCAATTCTGGCAAGGTTTCCAAGAGGATGACAAGATGCTGTCATTGGCAAAGATGGCCTTGCTGTCACCTTTTGTGCTTTCTTTGGGAACAAGGAACTTTTTATCTTATGTGTGTGTGCCTCCATCTTTAGTCTCTGTCTCCGCATGCTCCCCCGTGTAAATCTCTCCTTCCCTCCCTAGAGCTCCGTCTCTCAGTGCAGGCAGCGCAACTGCTCCTCTCCAAGGCCATTATCTGCTGAGTGCAACCAAGTGCAATTTCGGGCTCAGATAACCCAGTGTGCTGGGACACACTGGGGACTGAGGAAATGGTTGCCTCAAGGTTGGAATCCATGTAGTTCCGTGAGTTCGTGCGCACGTGTGTCTGGGTGCCGGGGGTCACTTTGGGGCTCCCCATCAGAAGCACAGGAGTGCTCAGAAGGAGGAGGCTCCCTGTCCTTCTACCTTCTGCTAACCATGGCTGTAGAGCAGCAAGGTCGCTGACAGAGGGGTCCAAGGGCCATGGGAAAGGCCAGGCGTGCAAAGGACAGCAGGTAAAAAATCAGCGCAGGGTGGATTCAGACTTCCTTTAGCTCAGTCAGGGTTGTTCCTACTTGCTGATTTGATTTTTGCCTTTGAAACCCCAGGACTGGGCAGATGTCTAAGCAGTATGTCCCGGGCTGTCGCTGAATAGTTACCCTCTAAAGATTCCATCACAAGAGATGTTGGAGCTGTGTTTCAAGCTGGCCAAAGCCGAGCAGATACTCGCTCTAATGCAGATCCAGCCCAAGAGGAGTCAGCGTGCAGATGCTGGCTTTGAGAAGGCCAGCAGAGCTGTGCTGTCCGAGCATCGCCCATCGGAAAGCACCGCAGGGAGCAGCACATTGTTGCTGACTGAGAAAAGGGCACGCAGCTCCTTATTTGCCATATGCCAGTCCAAGACACTATCAGAGAGCCATCTGTGGGTCTGCACCCCGTTAGTGCTGCCTCAGCCTCTCCAAGCAGAAAGACAGCCTAGGAGTGATGACTACAGAGAAAATAATTATAACGGGAAAACAAACAAACCAAAAGAAATGCTCAGAGCTCCTGCAGCACTGCACAGTCTGTTCAGGAAGGCTATCATGTCGGAGGAGAGCAGCATTTGACCGATGGAAGCTGATTTGTGTTGCTGAAAGAACATGTAATGTCATATTGGATAATATCATCCCTTTCTCTGCGTCTGGGTAAATCTCTGAGCTTTTGATTTCCCTTGGCTTATCCTGCTGTGACACTTCCTACGCAGTGGCATGGGATAAGCTCCCTCACCTCTACTCTGCTCGGGGGATGATTTTTTTTCTTTATCAGGGCACACTCCAGAAAGGCGTTGGATACTGGGCTAAATCTGCCCTCTTAAGATTTTACTTAGGAAAAAAAAAAATGCGAAAGCTTTTAAAAAGCTTAGAGAGATAGTAGGCAAGACAGTGCAGAGCTGTGCTCCTTGGCCTTATCTCCTGGGTGTTGCTGGCTGCAGCGTACTAGCAAGCTGCAGCAGCTGTGGGAGCAGCTGCCCTCAGCCTGCAACAGTAACACCACTGTTAAAAAAACCAACCAAACAAAAAAAACCCCAGAAATGCCAGAAATTATGTTTGTGACTGCACTGCCTGTGCCAGCTGAGATGAGCTTGCCCTGCGCGGAGCCACAGGCAGCAACGGCAGCCAGCGCATGTTAAGGGCTGCAGAACCAGTGTCTTACTGGAAACCCATCGGAAAGGGCTGTCGGGGTGGAGGAAGAAGCAGCCCAGCCCTTACCACAGCAGGGTGGGCGCAGCCAGCCGAGGTGGCGAGTCGCTCTGGATCGGGCCCTGAGCGGGACGAGCTGGGAGAATCACAGCTTTCCTGCTAATAGTTCTGGGGAGCAGGTTTTGGCCAGCCTTGCTCGCAAATGTTGTTCTCGTTGCTCCTCGCTGGGAGGGAGGCGTAGGCAGCCAGGGAGCAGAATATGTCTGTTACCATGGGAAAGGGAACCCGTAGCACCGTGCTGAGGGCAAGCCTTGGGAAAGGGCTGTGAATCCGCAGCGTACGTGCACTGAGAGACAGGAGGGCATTCAGTGGTGATGCTCTCCGTTGCTCGGCCACGCTGCTCATGAGCTGTGGCAGCCCGCAGCTCAGCGCCGTTGGGCAGAGAGGAGATGTGCTCGGCCAGCTCCGCACCGGGCAAGTCGTGCAGCCTCGTCCTCGGGACAAGAAATTGCGATGGCAGCCGAGAGGGTGCAGGAGCGCGTCTCCTGTCACCCTGACCGCCACAGGGGCTGTTTCAAACAAGCTGGCATTGCCCCAGGGCTCTCAGCCTGAGGCACTGGTGGAGGGAGGGCAATCCTACCGGCCTAAGAGTGGGATGAGTGGCCCCCCCGGGGCGCTTCTCCGTCACCACTGACTGCACAGGGAGACAAGGCACCTTGCTGAGGCCAAGCATGGCTTTTTTTGAAAGCTGGCGTCAAGCGAGACGGCCCTCAGGCTCTCTGTGCTCTCCTAGATCAGGGCTTGGACCAGGTGTTCGGGGAGCTACTGGAAGCTCGCCCTGGGCGAAGGACGCGGCCCCTTCCCTCTGCTGTCTGCAGTCCTTCCCCAACCCGCGGCACTTCTAAATACATCCTCTTCGGTGGTAGAGCAATACCTCCGTGAAGGTACCTCGCTTCGTCTTCCCTCCTCTGCCTGCCTGGTCTTCCAGCTCTTCCCTGCCCTGTGCCAGCGTGCCTTAATGCGTGGCACACGTAGGAATACCCACGCTGCCTTTCCAGGGGCAGCTGTGAGGAAGGTGGCATATGTCCCTCATCCTTCTCCTCTGGTGCCCGTGGCAGAAGGAGCACTGTTGCATTACGCCAGCATTTAAGAAATAATAATAATTAAAAGCTTTCTGATGAACCTGGTTAATTTCCTATTCTAAAAAGCTGCTAAGGCAGCGCCTTTTGTGCATTAGCATATTTGCAAGGTTAATGTAGTGTACTTAATAAGATAAATAATGCTTGTCATGATATTTCAGGCCAATTTTAAGGGGAGGGAATTAAAAATATTTTGCTTAACGTCTTAAGTTTTTGCCTGGTCAACTTTAAGTTAACTGCTGAGCTACCGCTGAGTGTTGAGAGATGTTGTTCACTTCTCCCCTTGGCAGGTGCTCACTAGCACTTGCAGAGGGTTAAAGGAGACTGTGAAAGCACAGATGGCACGGGTGAGCTTCAAGTGGGCTCTCGGTGACTGCTGTGATAGACATCACTTTGGGAACATAGATAGGAAGGGCATTAGGAAGGCAGCGAAGCCATAACAGGCTGAAGGAAAAGGATATGGGATCAGGGACAACGTCTGTGACTGGGAGGGAGGAGACGGTGGTACTGACCTGCAGGAGAGGGTCTGAGGCTACAAGAATGGCGAGCAGATGGCAGCAGTAATAAACCAGTGACTGATGCGGTGGGACCACGAGGCTGGAAGAGGTAGTGAGGGCTTTCTCACCAATACAGAACCTTTTTTTTTTTTTTCTTTTTTTTTTAAGGTCCTACTTCAACCCTTAGCTTAATGTTTTTATTTTTCCTCTGAACGTCCAGAACCAGGGAAGCATTTGAAAAATCCCCGTGTAAGACACTATGGGCCATGGGAGACAATCATAAACCTGCTTCCCAGCTGCCAGCCCTGGGCAAGTCTCAGGTAATGATTAGAGAGAGCCCTTGCGTTCCTAATGGTTTCTCTTGCCTCCTCTTCTGCAGAATGATTGCTTTCTTAGGCTTTTTAATAATATACAGTAAAAGCAGGCACATCCATAGATAAGTGAGGCCACAGTGGGCAAGGAAGAAAGAGGAGAGAACTTCCCAGGCAAACAATCCAGGGCACCTGGCTTGCTGCTCCCACATGCCCTTCCTTTCTCTCCCCTCCTCCCCCTGACCAGCAACACAGACCAACCAGCTCATTATTTTCTCATAATGATGAGAAAAGGGAGGGAGAAGCAAGCCAACAAAACTGCCGGTATTTGCTATATAGGAAATTAATAAATAGATACGCCACACAGATACACGCCGCAGTGAAAGGATGGAAGGACGGGCAGATATTTAGCTGGCTCGGAAAGCTAGACCGGTACGATGAAGGAAGAGACGGACAGCAGAGGCAGCTGAAAGATGAGGGGGCAGAGGGGGTGGAAGAAATAAAACAGGGAAACCCCAATGCACAGTGGGGAAAGAAAGATACAGTAAGAAAGTGAAGGGGGGAGAGAGATACGAGTGAGGAATAAGGAGGATGGGTAAACAGATACAGCAAAAAGACAGGTTGGATGAGTCTGGCAGAAGAAGGAAGGAATAATATGTTGTTGTAGGTGTCCAAGGGGGGAGGTAGCGAAGGGGTGGAGGACCAGCTACAGTGGGTAGATTGATTTTGATGTTAGCTATATTGCAGGTCAAATACAGTCCTCACACCACATCGACTCCACATCTGTTTCTTCTTCTACCTGCCTGTCAGCCCCCTGCTGTGTCCTAGATTTTTTCAGCTGGAGCACCTCTCGGGCTCGGCACCGACTGTCTGTCAGCCCTGGGGTGGGGGGAGACTGGAGCATCGGGTGAGGCGCGTACCAGCCCACGTGCCCCGCAGCACCGATGAACCCAGGCTCAGCGCAGCCTTACAGAGGTACAGCTTTGGGAGGGAAGGCAGGTTGGTGGCTGGAAGCCCGTCCCGCAAAGGGAAAAGGGCTTTGAGTGCAGCACCCAGTGTCAGAGAGACGTCGGCGTAAACACCGAGAGGCTGCCTGGATGGATGGATGGATGGATGTGGGGCAATCCATCCTGCCCCACACGGCGCCTGTGAACTGGAGGTGGTGCCAGCCCATCTCGCTGCTTAACGTAAGGAAAGGGTTTTCACAGCAGCAACTGCAGGCTTAGCCTCTCCAGGCATCTCGTTGCTGTGGTTTTGGCCTGTGATGATGGCCTGTGTCAGGCCAGCAGCTGGCTGGCTACCTTGCGCTACAGAGGGAGCCATTTCTTCAGCCTCATCACTGCAAATGCCATCGCTTAGCTGACCCCACTGTGCTGTGGCGATTTCCCTCCACCCTGGGTTTCTGGACCCAGATACCAGCCTGGGAAAGCCCAGCGTGGTGCAGCCTGCATCCCCTGACAGCAGTCCTGCAGCCCACCAGCCACACAACGCCTGGCTGGGATGCCCTCATCATCCTCCAGCACGGGGCAGACGGCCCTTAACGCGAGAGCCTCCTACCTCTGCCGTGCTGCAGCCTATTATTTTCTCGGAGCAGCCTGTTCAAGAAGAAAACAAAACCAGCCCCCTGCCTCCGTCCCAGCTGATAGCTTCTTTCTCTGTCTGGGGTGCCACAAACAGTGGCACTTAGAACTTCAAAAGGGCTCTGCTTCCCTGCCCCGAGCCCCCGGCAGCTCTGCAGGGCTCTGGCAAAGTTGTGCCCACCCAGCCCAGGTGCCAGCCAAGGCAGGAGATGGCTCAGTGCATCCCAGTGCATCCCAGTGCCCAGGCAGATGGAGGAGCAGGTTGGGCTTGCCCTGGAATTTTGTGTGGGTGGCAGTGTGCTGTCTCTGAGGCTGCCCGGCTGAGCGCTGCTCGCGGCTTTCCCGGGGGGGGAGCACCCCCCTCATCACTCTGCTGATCCCAGTTGCATGGTAACTGCGACTGCACTAAGGGATAAATAAACACCTCAGAGCCCTCCCTGCTCTTCCTTCCTCTCCTGTCTGTTGGCACCCATTGGTTTGCAGTCATTTGCTGACTCTTTCTGGTTTTTTTCTCCACTTGCCTTCCCTCTGTATTTGCCCCATCCTGTTTCTGTCCTCCGTGAATAATGCTCGGCAGCACGGTGTGCTCCTGTAGAGGAGTTAGAGCTGCTCCAGGCAGTTAGCCACTCATCCAAAAGAGGATCCTGAAAAGGAAAGAAAGAAAAAAAAAAGGAAAAAAAACCTAAACTAAAATTAGGGGTTTCTCCATTCTCTGTGTCCTTAGTGCTTGCTAGGGCTATTGGCAGAGCTGGCGGTGGGGAGCCCAGGGCTCAGGGAGCAGGGGCACTGTGCGTGAAGCCCCGGGTGCCTTGATACAGCTTTAGAAACAAAGATGTAAATAGACGGAGGAGGAGAACTGCCAAAGCTGTACGGAGCTGAGGATTGAGATAATGGAGGCTGATACAGTTCAAGACTGAGCTGTATTGCGTACGATGTACCGGCTGTCCAAGTCAATGCACCCTGTGCCATGGGCTTTGCTGTGCTCTAGAGCTCTGGATGTTGCCCTGTGGACTTCACAAACCAAGGAAACCTAGAAGAAATGCACAAGAAAATCAAATCCAACTACTTAAATTGTTCTGAGTGGAGGGGGAAGAAAAGGAGGGGATATTCCTCACCTTCCCATGTAGAGCCAAGTGCTCCATCACATGCAGAAACACACACGCATGCATACATACACATACACAAAGCTCTTTTGTGGTACTCGGAGAAGCTTCAGGAGCATCAGACAGCTCCGCACTGAAACTCGCCAGATTTTGGCTCCTGTGCCTAAGCCTAGTTCTTGGCTGCCCTTCCAGAGCATGGCAGTAAGGCTCTGTCAGCTGCACTTCATCAAAGGGGGTGTAGCAGAGGTTAACAGTAACATCTGGGAAGGGTTTTGCCCATTCTGTGCATCATGTATTGAGCAGCACACTCTTGGATCTGTTTAGGATAGTGATCAGATAGCAAAACTTCAGGAGGGAAATGTCCCACCACCAGAAAGCATCTGTGCAGTAGGCATGGGAATTTAGAAATGTGAATGATGAGTGAAAATGTGAGCTGGTATTTATATATGTGTGTGTGTGTATATATATATACATATATATATATATATATATATGATGATAGCTCTTCACTAGGAAATGAAACCCAGCAGGGGAGATAATACTGTGTAGATTTCAAAAGTCTTCACATGTCCATGCACTAAAGAGCATTTCTCTCCTTCTCTTGTTCAACCCCGACACCATAGATGCCTCAGACTTGAGCAGTCTGTTTGAACTACCTGCTGTTCAAAAATCACGAGGAGACAGCTGAAGCTCTTTGCTAACCGAAGCCTTTCTTCCAAAGCTTCCAGGAGCCAGATGAGAGGAGCATCCAGGCTACTTTCTGCTCCTAGGAGAGCAGGCGAACTCCCAACTACCTCTGGACCCTGTCGTGCATGCTGGGATGGATTAAGGCTACTGAAACAGGAGCCTGCTGGCCTGTGGTTGTCCTGCACTGCAGCGAGTCAGGGATTAACCTGCTTTGCGTGGGAGGTGGGAGTTCTGTCTCTGCTTAGGAGATCCTAAAGGATTTCTATTTTATAGGAGATCCTAATAGTAGCTGGTCTGATTTTTATCCATTAATCCCTGTTTTACTGTGTGAGCGCACACTCGCACAGCAGCATGTATCTCTCTGTATTTGAGTCCCATCTCCTCGCCTTAGAGATGTATACAACTGCCTATTTCTCTTAGCCTCACGGACGCAGTGGAACAAAAGGTGAATGAGATTTTCTTTCACCTTGTGCATCATCAACAGGAATATCCCTGTTTCCAATGGCAGGATTGTTTCTGTTGGGAATGGTGGATGAGGCAGATGGAGTCTTCTCTGATGAACCTCCTGTGTTTCTGGCATCTGAGAAAAGCATCCTTTGCCTTGAAAAATGAGTGAATCACACAGGGAGGGAATCTCTTCCACCATCTCACTTCTACAACCAGTCTTCTGTCTATAATCAGGATTTTTAAAGGAGAGGGAATGAAGTTCCTGAGGCAGAGGATGGTGGGAATCTCTGCTCTGATAAATTTTGGGGCATGGAAATAACAGAATAATGGAGTTGTGCTGCTCAGTATTTATTCTAGACTTGTAACAGGCATCACTGGAATGTAGTGGGCATATGAAGTGTGAATCACTGAGGGAGGTCATATTGAGGATGGCCAGAATCAGGAGAAAGTCAGGATCTTGGAAACCAATCTGATTTTGCTGCTCGTAAGTAGAGGTGATAAGGTTTCTTTTTGCACTTGGCACAGTGAAGTATTGACAGCTCTCATGAACTCTCCACCCTGGGCGTAAATAATTACAAAGGGAATTGATTTTGAATCATGTTTCATATGTAGAAATGTACCACTTATTAAGTGCAGTGCAACATATGGTATGGTGTGTGTCTACATTAGCAGTTGAGTTTGAATCCTGACCGTGCTTTGGAATCGTATCTCCCAGTCATCTCTTTGCTTTGGTTCCTATTGCAGGACGGTCTCTGGGCATATGCTGTCTTCCTTCCACGTGAAGCTAAACCGGGAGATGCTCAGACTCACCAGTTGCTAATGGTGGTCAGCCCGTGGGGCCTGAATAGATCTAGTCCCAAGTAAACCTCTGCAGTGTATATAATGCAAACAGCAGGTGTCCAGCGCCATTTTGCTCTATAAATCTGCTCCTTTTGCGCCGCGGTGTTGGTAACGTAGACGCAGTGGTTGGCTGGGGTGGACTCTCGAGGCTCAAGGACTGAGCCTCTTAAAACCAAGTACTTTCTGCTGCAGTTTTAGCCACCTCAAAAAATATGAGCTTGCCCACACAATCATTTCATCTGATAGTTTCCCCCACCATTGGCAAGTTCATATCATTCGGACCCGCATGTGGTTTGCACTGTGGTCTAGACTTGCCACCCATGGTCTGCCTGGGGTTTACACTGATCAGGTCAAAAGTCCTTAATGTTGACCCCAGTCCCGGTGTTCCCCCACTTCCCTTACACCAGCTGATAGCTGCTCTTTCCCCAGTGGGTACTGGCAGAGCCTGGTGCTTTAGCTCTATTAGGTGAGAAAAGGTGATGTGAAGAGACCCCTCTTACAGCGTGCTCCAAACGTGGTGAGGCTGATGCTTTTCCTGATTACCTGCAGGGAGTTCTTCTGTCTAGGGCTCTTCAGCAGGAGAGCTCTGCGGCACGGCACCTTCTGCTCCCGGGCTGGAAAACACCGTGGCCCTTGCTCTGGGGTAGTGGTCGCTCATCCGTGTATCCAAACACAGCCCAGGCTCGAAAGCTCCCCAGGCACTTTCTTTTCTTCTCTGTGTCTGCCAGAAATTGTGCGTTTGTGGCCTCTAATGCCACACATTGATAGGAGGAATCGGGAGATACCCTGCGATGCGCTCGCGCGTGTTGCGCCCACCCTGCCCGTCCATTCCCTTGCTGCTTCTGACACGGTGCTTCCTCTAGAGTACCTGCCAATACTGAGGGCAGTCACTCCTTTTTAGCGGTACCATTAGACCGTCGTACTCTTTCTCATTTCCTTCTCCCAGCACTGCTGAGAGTTGCTACTTAGCTGGGATTTTCCAGGTAGCCTAATGGAGTTAGCCATGCAGAGCCAGCGACTTTCTGTGCGTAGAGAGCATCTAATTCTCTCAAAGCCCATGGCAAATCCCAGCATTATTTCCTATGCAGATGGCTGCTACAAAGAAGCAATTAGGAAGATAACCAGTATCTTCCCTTCCTCTCTACCATTTTTAAAGCTGCAGGGGAAAATGGCAGTATTTTGGTTAAAGATAAGTATAAACCAAACCCTAAGGTGTTGACAACCCAAAATACTTGCGTGTTTCAGTTTTGAACTAACATCTAGATTTGTATCTTGGATATGGTCCCTAGCTTTACTTCTTTGAATAGTAAATCTTTTTCACAGTTTGAACTGTGAATATAATTTAGCATTAATGTACCGTGTATGTCTTTGATATGGCCGAAAGGGACAAGTTATGTATCTGGGTTGGAGCAAAGAGACATATCACCATGTTGGCAGGATCTTTACCGCTGGAACAGTAAGTCCAGGAATCTAAAATGCGGGAGTCTTGGGGAATATTTAGGTCTGAAGCATGAAGTATGTACATATATCTAGCAGTAGGT